TATATATATAATTTATTATAAATTTTAATTATATATAATAAATATACACATATATATATATATGTATATTATATAGGTTAAAATATTGATAATTTTTGTATTTTAAATGATTTTTATTTTTATTTATAACTTATTATTATTTAAAATACATTTTTTTATAAAGTTAACAAAAACAAACAAGTAATTATTTTTGAAAATATTTTTTCTAAATTTTTTGTGTTTTTTTAATGTATGTGAAAAATATAAAAGTTAAAAACATTTAAAAATTAATTTAATTAATAAATTTATGTTGTTAGTGGTAAATTTGTAAATTAAAATGTAAAGATTACTTAATTTTAATATTAATCAAAAATTAATTTAATTAATGAAAATTATTTTAACATAAATAATTATCCTTAATTGAACAACATTTATTATTGATTGAGAGAAAAATAAAGTAATAATTTCTTGCGAAAAATTAATTAAAACAAAAAAATAATAATTTGATTTGTATAAAAATTTAGAAAATGTACCTCAAAATACAAACTACACAAAACAATTATATAAAAAGGAAAAATAGATATAAAAAATCATTTCACCATAAAAAAAATAATTAAATTTATTATACAAAATTAAATTAAACATTCCCAAAATCAATGACTCGAGAAGGATGAAAGAAAAAAATATTAAATTTATATTATTAAAAAATATTAGAAATACATATTTCTAGTTATTTATATTACTACCTAAGTGTATATCTCAAGAACAATTTGTCTTTGTGGCTAATATAGGAGAAGTTGCTCTTAAGATAGATATCAACAAAGCACTTGATAGAGTCAATCGAAACTATTTGATTAATATCATGTTGAAGAGTGAGTGGGGTAAGAGATCCATAGAATGATCAACTCTTTTTCTTTTTGGTGGGGCTCTAGCAGGAATTCTCAGAAGGGAATTCACTAGTTGAGGTGGGAAGAAAAGCTATCCATGAGAAAGGAACATGGTGGCATTATTGTTCATTGTTATTTTGCCATCTCTACCATTTCAACTTAGCCATGCTAAGGAAGCATGGTTGGAAGCTTACAACCGATAATGGTGTCTGACTAGAAGGCACAAACTTCAAACAAAAGTTGTCTTATGCCTCATCTTGTGTGCCCTGTGTGACTCCAACATTGAAAATGGTTGGCACATTTTCTTCGGATGCACTCAAGCAAAACGATTTTGGGAGCATGCTGGTCGGTGGAACACCATCAAAAACTCTATTGAACATTTGAAGAGATTTGCCCCCCTCATCATCCACTTGTTGGGAACACTCTCTGTTGCAGAAAAATAGGACATACGAATGATCCTCTAGGCCCTTGGGATTCAACACAAGGATAAGGTGTGGGAGGGTGCTACAAAACCACCTCATATATATTGAGATAAAGGAGAGAGACCTACTTATTCTAAGAATAAGAGTAAGTTTATTTAAATTTTTTTCATTCAATAACTTTTATTTTATATCATATTTCAATAATCAAATTATTGAATAAAAGTTCTTAATAGATAAATCAATTATATAAATCTTTTAAAAATTTAAAAATTATTTAATATTTTATTTCATTAATTCAAATTGAAAGAATTAATTTATAATAAAAAAATTTAATTTATATATATATATAAAGAGAAAAGAGAGATTAAATAACTTTAAGAGTAATTCCTTCTTAAGTCATTTCACTTAATAAGTCATGATATATATTGAATTTCAACAATTCAATAGTTAAATTAAAAGTTCTTAATGCATATATGAAGTCTAAATTTTTTTAAAAAAATTTAAAAAATTATTTGATAATTGATACTTCGTTTCATTAATTCAAATCGATAAATAATCACAAAAATATTTTATATATCGATTTGAATATATATAATGAAGTATCATATAAATTTTACTTTTTAAAAAATTATGGACTTAATCTATATAGTGATTGAACCATTAAAATTCAAAGTATATAATTAATGGGACAGATACTAGCGTGGGGACCTAAACATGTCCTCCACCGTGTGAGACTTACAAGAGTTGATGGATAAATATTTTTTTTTGTTGCAATGAAAATTAAACCTAGATTTTCATTCTTCTAACTATTACAATCCCTCCTCACTCAATTATTAGGCTAATCTTAGTGGTTCGGATAAATATATTTTTAATTCAACCAACATGATTTGATATTTTTTTTTATCTTTTATCTGTTTCTTTTTTTCTCTTTTTTTCCTTATGTACCCCTCTACCCTATGTCCCGAATCCCCATCTTTCTGCCTTGCAAACTTCACCACCATGGCCAAAAAACTTTTCCCATTGAAACGGATTCATATCCCCTGACCCCGTGGTCATGAAGCAAAAACTTGCTAAGTAACACCAAGACAAAGTTATGCTTAATTTTGTGTTTTTTATTTATCTATTGATACAAGAAAGTGTTTTTTCTCATTACTTTTAGTTGTGTGGACTCAAAGACAACAGTGTCTAAGGTGGAAGAAGATGAAAAAAAATAAATTAAAAAAAAAAAATTCTCATAATGGGAGATATGTTATGTTTTCTCACGTTAGAATCCGTCATACTGATGGAGCCCAACTTGGAAAGTAGTTGTTGAAACTTGGCACGAGGAAATTATTTGGTAAGGATGTTAGTGAGTTGATGTTGAGCACGAACATGAATCAATTTGATCTTTCCATCGTTGACTAGTTTTCTTATATAAAGAGTCTATTTAAATATACATTAAAAATATTTTTTAGTGTTTTTTTTAATTAAAAGTAAAGAATATTTTTAAAATTTGTATTAAAAATTGTTGTGAATATATATGATGTGTTGACCTCTAAAGTCTCATCACAGTGAATAGGATTTGAAACAAGATGCAAAACGGATTGGTTACACAAAGCAACATTGTGGATTCACAATTTATTTCAAAACATGTGAGAATGTAACCACTTTATTGACAACTTAGGGAAGAAACCTATATTCAACGTCAGCGGAGGACTTGGATACTTTGGTTGCTTTTTTGATTTCCAAGACACTAAATGATCATCTAGGAAGATCTTCGAGAATCCAAATAACCATTCCCAATCAACATCTTAAAAAGGAAATAAGCTTAAGCAATGATTTAAAAAAAATCCAACACTTCATCCAATCGGTTAAAGTTTAAGCAATGATTTAAAATATTCATTTCATCTATTTTATATCCATAAATTTTAATAAAATTTATACCATATATTATAGATATCTCTAAAAAAAAAACTATAATAATAATAATAATAATAGAACAATAAAATTATAGATTTTTGAAATCACATAAATTTATATATAATTAAATATATTTTAAATTAAATAATTAGATTCATCTATATTTAAGTTTTATCTTTAAATAAAACACAATTTAGTATTATATATATATATATATATATATATATTCTACATGATAATGAAAAAATCATTTGACTTAATAGTAAAATACTTTCACATATATTAAACTTTTAAGTATGAATTAGTCTTGAATGGGCAAAATCATTATAAACCAAGGATTGTTTCTATGATTTTCTTTAGGAAAAGTGTTTTTAAGAGAGAAAAAAATAAGAGAAAAAGTAAAATAATTTTTTATAAGTTAAAATTAATTTATACATAAATTAAAAATAAATTTTTAAAAAATAATATGAGAGACCTTCATAAGTTAACTTATACAGAAGATAATTTTAATTTATATATATATATAAATAAATAAATAAAAACTTATTTCATATTTTTTCTTAGAGAAACTTAATCGGTCCACGAGGCGCCTTGTAAAATGATAATAAAACAATGTTGCTGCCCAGGATCGAACTGGGGACCTTTAGTGTGTAAGACTAACGTGATAACCACTACACCACAGCAACTGTTCGTGATGTGTTTTAGTTAATAAAAATTCTATTTTCAATTGATGGATATTGGTTTTGATATATATGTAATTAATGTTAATACTTGTAGGTACTTTAGTGGCCTTACCTCGCATAGTCGTATTTACAATACTAAATGATAAAAACTATGTATTTTAATTAAAATTGTTATCATAAGAAAAAATGATTATTGATATAATTAATTGAAATAGTTAACAATTAAGAGATAATTATTAGATTTACTTTAAGATTAATACTACCTATTAAACTACATAAGAACTTATAAAACAATTATGCATTATTCGTGTAAAACAATTTTACACCAAACTAAAATTTGGATCTAGACTCGGGAGGGCCGGGGGAGATCCAACTTCCACAAACTACCATTTGTTGAATTTTATAGTAATTACACAAAACATCGTATATAATAGTTTTTCCTTAAATTTTATAATAACTAGTCATATCAACAATAATTTTTAATTAATTGACTATATAAAATTAATTTAGATTTGATCTTATAGGAGAGGATAGTTAACAATTAGTTAGTGATAAAAAAAATATTAACAATTAATTAAGGACCTTGTTACAATAAAAGCTATTACAAAATTATGAACCTCGTCTTTCTAATAATAAGAATTATAAAATAGTTAAAAAAATATATAGAGATTAATATCTTATATACATCGACGATAATACTGAATAATTGTTCAAATACGAGATAGAGAAAATATTCCGTCAAATTTCAAGAAATGTAAGCAAATTTCTATCATAAGAACTAAATTATGAGTACATATAGAAGACCTAATTACAAACTTTTAAAATTTGAAAGTTTAGTTAAAAATTTCCAAAATTTCCTAATAACAAAATCATATATTGAACCGGAAAACAAATAGTGGATGACACAATATTAGGCATTAAAGTAATAATTGCCACCGATAGCAGAAATGCTGAACAAGGCAATTATGTTCCCAATGTAACCACGTTGAATAAGATTATTGATCCTACCCGTTTCTTGTTTTTGAAGATTGTTTATCGAAAGCAAATAAAGGGACCCCTCTACCTAAAACTACAAGCCTTAATCACTAAGATCTAAAAGAAATTCACAAGTTGTATACCAACACAATTATTAAAGATACCAATGTGGTTTAAAAAATCCAAAATGATAATATATATACACATATATCAGTACATAGAAAAGCACCTTTGATATTCTGTTAAATACATTCATTCATGATGAGAAGTTTCTCAAGAGATTCACACTTAAATGACAAGAACCGAATGTGCAAATCTCTTGTTAATAAGTAATTAATTCGATCTGTACAGGGATATACAAATGAGCTAGCTAGATACAATTTACCATCTCAACTTCACCACCAACCCACAATAACACAGGGTTGGATACTTCTAGCAGAAGTGGGAAGCAAGTACTGCAACTCTATATGATATGAACTCAATTCGCTGACTCGGGTTCGGGCTTTTATGCGACTAACTTGTTGTAGCGGAAGTGAATAGTTAACCATCCAAGACATTAAAATCTGTGTTGAGATCACTTACCTAATGTGAGAGTCATAGGCGTCGAAAAGAGTGTCTGGAACAATCAAAGGCAACTTATCTATGTACATGAAAAGCCTTCTGAGATCCTCCCTCGACACCGTTGCCATCTCTACCACATCCTTTCTATCGGTGAATACCCAGAGATCACTTGAGTTCACTCTCTTCAGACTGTCGCGGCAAAATGGGCACGATTGTGATATCGTTCGCCTGCAAAAAAAGTCAAATCACTTTCAACCTTAAACAAACCAAGAAAATCTGCACCAAAACAATGATGTAAATGTGGTTGTTGCAATCAGACATAAATGAGGTTTGCTAAACAGGTAGGATTGAATAGCATTGGCCAAAAAGGTCTTGGTTTCAAACCCTCAAAACAATGAGGTATATGTGGTCCATTCTCACTCACTTTCAATTAACACATCAAACTACAAATAACCCATAATAGTTCCACAGGAGAACAGCAATAGAAATTATCTTATAGTCACTACAATACTAAAGTAAAGTGATAAGGACCAATTTCATTTCTCTAAGTTCAGAAGACCCTTTATGCTTGCAAATTTGTCACTCATAAGAACATCAGATCGACTTCATCAAAGGGATGACTTTAGAGGACAACAATGGTTACATGACTGTATCATTCAGAACCTAGATATTCAAGGAATGAAAACACATCAAATACAGAAGTACAGTCAAGTGCTAAGATCAGAATATAAAATGATTAGTGTTAATCAGCAGAGAAGCACCCAGGAGACATGCAGGAAACATCCATCTAGCAACTACTTATGCTAGCAATATCAGATCCTTTTCGTCAATTCTTTCACACCCCAATACTAATTTTATATTATATTACTACATTGAATATTCACATTCAAGCAGCAATAACAAGAAACAACTCATACCTTTATATGCATGGTATCTATAGTGCAACCACACCTGCAATCAAACACAGGATTCTAAAACAGTTTATGTATAGTGAGACGTCTGATTTCCACTATTTACAACCACTATTACGTTACAAGGTTTAATTGATTACATTTTACTATTACCGAAACACTTGGTCATTAAGTAGTAATTGAATAATCCATGAAATCAGCAACTATATAAAATATCATAAACATAGAGTAGAAACAAGTAAAAAGCAACACATCTTCTTCCTTGTAAAAGAATAATCTTCTTGCTTGTAAAAGAATAGGGAGTGTCATATAGTGACACAGAGCGGGAGTAAGGGAGTACCATTCTCGGTAACATTTCAGGCACATGGCATGATTGCAGTTGGGCAGCACAATCTTACTATTCATCTCCATGCATATTCCACACTCATCTTCTCTTTCAATGTCTATGTCAGAAGATTGCCTATTATATTCCTCATCATCTCTTCTACGATACCTTTCCATGCACACAGCCTTTTGCTTTTTATCCTCGTTATCAGTGACACCCTTTTGAAGTTGCAATAAAGAGGGATAAATGACCGCTGCTCAGAGCAGAAATTCAACGCGTCAGCAACCAACAATAACTAAAATGCAAACTACCTTTCACCTTATTTTAGATTAAAAACCAAGGGTAGTTATTAGATATACCATAGAATTCTCTAATACTTGCTTTTCTTTCATGTGTAGACATGGTGGTTGTCCCATCCACATAGACCTACAACATGAAGCAAATCCTTCATCTTGTCCAAGTTTCAAGCCACTCATTTCAATATCCACACCTAAAAATCACAACACCTTACCTTGTAAATTAGGATTCTTAACAGTCCAAGGGCTCCAGCAAGATGACAATCTGTCCATTGCACCAAAAAGAGAAACAAGTGTGCAGCTGGACTGTATGACATTCTCATCTGAAGGCACGCACCATCATAATCCCTAGGAAAATCTGATGCCCTGCACATCCCAATTACATGATCATCCAATAACTAACAAGGAAGTATATTGATATTAGATGATAATTTGGCATAATTAAGGATAATTGCTGAAAAGGAGTAAAAATAGCTCCCCCCCTTCAAAGAATTATCATTGCAATATTTACAAAAGACACCATCACATGGTAGATTGCTTCTCTAAAGATATTTCATTACAAGCAAATCAGACACTGCATGTCACTGAACCAATGAATGATATGAAATTTGACACTGTAGCAGGTAATCATAGACATAACGCAATAACATCCACAGATCAAGAAGCCACAATTTGACATCAAAATCACCATTCCATGCCACAGTAACAAAGGGAATTCAACCCCCCTTAAACGATTTGACAATTTCACAAACAAAAACTTCTCTAAACCACAGAGGGATAATCAGCAATGAAAACCACTTCAACCATGACCTGTCAGTAAATTAAACACACAATATTTATGAAGGACACTTCAAGGACGAACACTGACCAGAGTCCAGAATAAAATCAAACAAATGAAACAAAAAAAAAAAAAAAAAAAAGGCTAAACCCCAGAAAATCATCGTACCCAGAAGAACCTCACTAAGCAATCACCAACCACTTACCCCCCATGAGAGAGAGAGGAAAAAAAAGGATTTTTTTATAAAATAAAAGTAAAAAAGAGAGGAAGGGTAGCAGCCATTGACAGACCACCAACCTTTTGTAACAAAGACCACTCTCACATTCACAAAAAAGAAAAAAATAATAACATTAACAGAGCAAGGATCATGAAAACCAAAAAAAAAAAAAAATCAAAAACCCAGAAAAAAAAAATGTGAGGGAGAGAACCCACAGGGTATTGGCGTGCTGAATATCAGCTTCAAGAACTTTCAAGGAGTCCTTGAAAGACTTACGCATGGAAGCAGCTACGTACATCTCACCCCCCTCAAAGGATACAGAAAACCACGATTAAAAAACCAAACTTTCTGAATGGAAGAAGAAGAAGAAGAAGAGAGAAATTGGTTGGGTGAATGAAGCGCAAAACCCTGGGTGGTATAGTTTGGGTGTGGAGGAGAGAGAAAGAGAGTGGTTCGTGTTACTTCTATGCTGTTCTTGAAAGCCAAGACGGTGAGCTTGTCAGGACACGTGTACGCGCCAACACCCTCGCCCCTCCATTATTAATTAATATAAATATAATACATACTATAAAATATAAATATTATCTACACCATAAATCAATTCATACATCATTCTTAATTTTTTAATAAACTTATTGTCCTGCACTATCATATAATGCTTTGCGATTAAATAATTATATATATATATATATATCATTCTTACTATTTTTTATTTATTTCTTGTAAAAATTAATAATTAATAACTAACTACAAATAATAGTTTATGTTTTATGAGTGAATGATAATGTAAAATTATTTTATATTATTAGTATTTTTTATTTTCTCTTTTTTAATTAGTGATTTTGACTTCTAAATGTGTGAAATATCTAAAGAATAAATTAATGATTTTATCTAACATAAATATAATAATTTTTTATAAAATAATATTTGTTAGTAGGGATGAGTAATATTTATGAGAGAGAAATGTTTTTTTTTAGAAATGAGAGAGAAATGTTAGTCATGCTCTTCTTAACACTCTTTTATTAATACTTTATTTATTATTAGTTGAAAGTTATAAATCTTAAAAATAAATTAAAAAAATATATAAAATTATTAAATTATAATTTTTAATAAACTTTATCTAATAATAATAATAATATTAGTGAGCGAGTGTTCCTAACACTCCTATGCATTATACATGATATTGCAGTTATCATGTTACTAAAATAAGTAGTTTATATTGAAGAATTAGAGAGAAATACAATGAAACATCAGAAAATTACACAAATACCCTTGTTTTTTTAATGATTTTACAGTAACTTATCTTATGGAAAGTTACAGGATATTATTTTTCAAAATAATTAAGAGATAATGTATTGTATAAGAAATGTCATCGTAATAAATAATTAAAGAAAGTTATTATAGAATAAAAATGTAAGATGTGGGTAATTTTATGAAATCTCGAAAAATATCGATGCAATTTATTCAAAAAGATATATTATTAAATATTAATAATTAAATTTACATAATTAAATAGTATAATAAAATTTGTTTCTTTCAATAGATAAGACTTTATTGAAAAAAAATATATGTTGTGATTTATATATTTTGAAATGAAATGACTCCTATTATTGTTCGAAGAATAGTTTAATGAAGAAAAGTAAATTCATAATAAAATAAAGAAATTGATTATAAAAAATAACAATAAAAAAGAAAAAAAATATATAATTAAAGTTAAAATAATAATCTATAACAAAATATAAACACAATTTCTTGTTTTCGCATATACAATTTTTAAGATTTCTTTATTCTTTATTTATTATGGTAATTACACATTTTTTTTCTTTTAGTGTAAGATAATTCAGTAATTTTATTTTATTAATTTGAATAAAAAATATTATTTACCAAAAATAAATTATATAATCATTTCAGAATTTTCGCATCTTTGTCCAGGTCATTAACAAGGCACATAGTATTTTTTTTTTACTAGTAAAATATTAAGGTGGTGTTGCTTAGTATAAAAAGAAAAGTGTAGCAATTAATTATATTTTAAAAATTAATAATTTATTAATTATAATTAAGTGCTATTTATTAATATTCGAAAAGCATTTGTAAATTTTTGTTTTACCAAAAGCATTTACCTAGTATAGTTTAATGATTAATGTGTGTGGTAGTGGTTTTGGAGAAAACCATTTACTTATTTGAAGTGGTGTGAGAAATGGGAGAGAGAGAAAGGAGTGTATGAGATGTGAGAATAAATCATTAAATCTTATCCAAATTTGGACTCTCTTTTTCTCTCTCTCTCTTTCAATGTTTCCCACTTTACCTTTTTTATAGTTTTGTTAGCTTTGCCTCCACGCACTTTTGGGTTAGTGGTTACACATTCCCTTCACCCCATTTGTGCCTTTATGCATTTGTTTTTAGTTAATTCCAATGTCAACATAATTTAAGGGATTTTATACTCTAATTCAAATATTTTTTTTATTTATAGAACTACAAGTGTCGATCTAATGGTAAGGTTGGAGTATGATGTGTACATAATTTTTAATTTCAATTTTAATATTGTCATTATAATTATGAAAGATTCAAAAAAAATGTTTTTTTTTTATAAAATTCACACGACATTTATCTTTCAAGAAACAATCTTGTTATAACAAGTAGGCTAGTAGAACTATGGGCGGTAAAAAAAGTTCTTTTAAATATTTAACACAATTAACTCGTTCATTAATTTCAAATATAAATTATGAAATTATACATGAAGAGAAATTAATTTCTGTGTTACTAATATATTTTTTTTTCTTTTTTTTTATCTATTTTAATTATCATTTTATTTTTTACTTTTGAATTGAATTTTAGTATTATTTTTTTTTATAAAATTACCAAATAGTTAAAAATAACTGTATATCATGATGTACATTTAAAATATCAATAATCTTTTTTTCAAGAAAAAAAAAATAAATGGAAGGATTTTTTGGATTTTTTTTTTCGCAGATGAAAGTATGTCATAACTGAAAGTTAAGGATTAAGCTCTTGAAATATTAAGATTCATTAAAGGTGTCGACCTCTCCAATTAATGTTTTTCGATACACAAAGATTGTGAATTGGATTATAGAAAAATATGTTTAAAGGATAAAGTTATTTATTAACGATATCACACCTTATTGGTATGAATTTTTAGGAATTGTTATTACTCTTATATATTTGGTTTTCTTATTTGTTTATCTATTTTAATTTATTATTTTTCATCTTTATTACTGAATTGAATTTTAATATTTTTATAAAAAAAATATCAAATAGTTTATAGATTGAGAAAATTATGCCACTTAATAATTTAATTTGAATCAATGTAATGAAGCAAATTTTGTTAAAACTTATAGACTTGATCTATTTATTAATTATTTTTAACAATTGAATCATTGAAAAATTAAAATTTAATATAAAATATATGTTATTATATGGAGTAACTTTAACAAGAGTTAAATTTGGAGTAAATGGATCCTTCTTAAAATATAATATATGTTCAAAAATTTATTTATTATTAATTTTAATTAAAATATAACATATTTTAATAATATTTGTTTGGTATTTCAACCTATAATTCATAGATTAATTTAATTTGTATTTTATATATAAAAATTATTACAATAATTAAATATTTTGATCATATAAATTATATGAAAATTTTATGAAGAATAATTTATATTGTGAAAAAAATGTCTATCAACCCGGTGAAGGTTGCTTGGAATGAAACCACTGGTGACGTTATATGAGAGCTAGAAGATAGGATTAGAAATCAATACAATATCTCTTCCTAAATTGTTTGATGGGGCTCTAAGAACTAAGCAATCTTTAAGAAGTAAATTGATAAAAATAGTTTAAGTTAAGGTTAAGTTTGACCAAGAAAGGGGAGATATGTATAAGAATTTTTGAAAATTAAAACTTCATAAATTTCATTCTAATTGTAAGTCCACTAAAGTCATCGCATCTAAGGTATTATTTGTTTTGGCGCTTATTGGATTATCACTATTTTGTCTTTAAAAATGCATCTCGTTGGATTAAAGAAGAAGGGTATTTATAAACTATCATTAGCCTTGATTCCTACGCGACATGAGACTTTAGACATACCGAAACAAGCCCCCGATCGAGGCTAAGGGACAATAGTGACTTAGACCCTCCTTCTATTGCCAATGTTCCAATTGTAAGTTTGCTAACATTGTTAGGGTAACCATGTTCAAGGTATTGTCCACTTTGACGCTTATTAGATCATCACAATTTTGTCCTTGAAAATGCTCCTCAATTTGGGAGGAAGATATTTATAAACTACCTTTAGCCTCAATTCCTAAGCGATGTGGGACTTTTACATATACCGGAACAAGTTTCATTTTCTGAAATTCTAGAGAGAAGATAGAGAAAGGATTTCTAAAGGCAAAGAAGACCTTTTTCTTTTTTTGATTCCACCAGGAGCATCTAGATCCTCAGTTGAAGTTAAGTTGGTGTTGTAGAAGCAACATCAAGTCTTGTGAAGTTTGGACTCTAAAGAGAGAAGTTAACCCTAGAGAGTTTGTTGTTCTACTCGTTTTCTTCTAATTTCAGCTTCTAAGAAGCAAATTGAGATAAGAGGAGTTTATTATTTGATTCTTTGAAGTATTGGAGGCACATAAGTTGAAATTTGATTAGTATAAGTTGGTGCTAGAAGTTAGGGTTATTGAACAAAAACCTAAATTTTGTTTGATTCTTGTTGATTTATAGATGCATGTGTAAATTGAGTTGAATTATGAGGTGTATAAGTTGTTTAAAATCATTTTTTATAGTTTAGATATTGATTTGAGCTTGTGGAAGAGAGGGACTATGGTGGAAAGTTCAATAATGGCGAAAATGGCTAAGTATGCATATAATCTTCATTGAGCGGAAATGCATTTGGTGGGTATTTTTGAGTCGAGACTCAATGTAAGACCTGCTTCTTCTTCCTCCTTCCCCTCAACACTCTCATTTTCTCCTCACTTCCTATTCTTTGGTTTCAAATTCTTAAGCTTCCTTGTGGTGATTGTTGTGGTTGAAGGTGCTGAGTAGAGACGTGAGGAGCTAGTCGGAAGTGCGGACCTCTTTCTTATTCTTTTCTTTCTCTTCCTCGGAGCTCGGATTCTTCTTTTTCAAGGTAAGGGAAGTTAGATTGCAAACTTGTTGGCTGTATAGGAATTCTAGAACTCATTGGGACTAAGAACATTGGAAATCATTGGTTGATTTTAAAGAAATTATCATTTTCGGGGTTTCAGGAAAAATTGGGAAAATGGTGATTTTGATGCATTTGATGGTTGCATGTTGAAATAGAACTTGTTTTTGAGTCGTGTGATGTAAATGTAGTTCATTTCATGGATTGCATGTGTTTGAGCTGGCTGATTTGCAGGTTTTTGTTTGAAATTTCGAAGTTGTGAGGGTTGCTGTTTGAATTACGTCGGGCATAGTTCTTGGCGTCGGGCATGTGTTCATCAGGGAACTCCATTGTCCAAGC